TTATTTTCAACGTATATTAGTTTCTGACAAATCATGCTTATCACATCAACTCGTCTAAACCATAATCAAATCTTAGTTATATCCCTGGGGGCCAACATGTCTTTGCTTACCCCTACTGTATATCACAATATTGATTTCTGTCTGGTAGACAATCAGTTAAAAACTACCATTTATCACTGGTCAGAAGTTATAGCAGGTTGATGAGTAGTTCAGGAAAACAAACAGTTAGATTCAGTATATTTAATGATTCTAGTTTACATTGCATTAGTTTATTGAGTCTGTCAGAACTATTTTGAGACTACCTCTACGAGATTGGCCCGAATGGTTCTCAGAACGCTTGCCTGTTTACTACAAAAAATTTATCGGTTCCATTCTGAGGATGTATTTTTTTTGTAATGTAAAAAGGGTTTAATGATAAGCTTTAAGATCCTGGTTGTAGAAGGAATTTCTCGGGCTTGGAACCTTCCTGTCTCTGAAAAAACTAACTTGTTACATGATAAAATATAGATGATGTTTTTGTCATTGTCTGTGTGTTTTAAAATTGATTCTGACAGTATTTGCTAGCACTATGAAATGATATAGATAATTATAAAAAACATATATTGATATTACTACTCTTTATTATAAAACATTCAATAATTTAACAGTACATCAAAGTAACTGGCAATGTTTTTGTGTTTACTGTATAGATTCTAACTCAGGGAAAAATTTCCAATAAAAATAGGTTGATTGCTCTACAAGGTGCATGTTTACTCACTAGGGAGTGTTATTCTCAGAACTGATAATGATGTGTTTCAGTCATCTGATTGGTCAATCACTAAAATCAATTTTAAATTTAGTTTTATTAACCAATCTTGATTTTGATCTTTGTTAAGGTTTAGAGAATATACAGCTAGGTCTGTGATATGATTCTGGCATTATTTGTAGACCTTGTTCTACCCTAAGATATGAAATAATGTTATATTTAGTCATTCAGATGGAACATTAAACTGATTAACACAAATAGGAAATGGTGTATCAATTCCGTTGATCAAAATCTCATCCAAAATATGGCAAAATCGAGAGTTTAAGTTGTGTGGTAGAGTACTCCTCCAAAGAGAAGTACCATCAGGTGTTTAAGAATGATTAGATTTCTTAATAAAATACTCAAATGAATGACTGTAGAAAGTTTAAGTCAATGGTCCTGTTCTCTTATTTTCTTGAGAAAGATTAGTTGGTCTAACACTTTCATAGAAAGAAAATAAATAAAATGTAACGAGACAAATAAATTACAAATTTAAAGGAAAATGATCAATATTTTAGTCTGAAAAATTGAAATATTACCTCAAGTTTTTAAGGTTATTAAAGTTTTGAAATTAAAGATACCTAACCTAAATAAAAAGGATTCTTCCAGTCAGGATGCAGTGTTGTTGAACACATTAAAATTAGTATCTATGTGAACTCCCTACAAACAAAGAGATGCATAGCAAACAATACAAGTACTAAATAAACTATGTAGACTTACTGAAAGTGACTGAGTTTACGAATCTAAATACCAAAAATATAATTATTAGCTTTGTGGAATCTCATGATGGCCTTCTGAACAAAAACCAAATACAGCATATTATCTTTGTGATCTTTCTGAAATGGATTCTGAGCTGACAAATCTAAATAATAAACATTAAAAGCTATGAACTTTCCAAGCTTTCTCATCAATTTCAAGGTAAATCTAACACGAATCTAAGAAACACTAGACTATGGAGTTAATTACAGTCACTAGACGATTTCTATTAACGAGTACTAACATGACAACACTGACTTAATGAGAGTAATCTCCCCTCTCAGACTCTTCATTACGTTTCTCTCACCTTCATTTTTATTTGAGTTTAAAATACTAATTTTAAATCGAAACCCAACAAGATACAACATAAAAATGTTATAATGACTGTTAATTGTTTGCTAATGGTTGAGGTTGTTTTATTTTATTGATATTAAGTCAGTCTTGTCTTCAGGAAATCCTAAACACTCAAGAAGGATCAAACCCAACTCTATACACTATAAACTATTTTAATGAGATCTTTATTGTTTTTTTTTCCCACAAAATACATTGATTTGTTATTTTTTTAATTTCAGGAAAGATAATATAAAAGATTTACCTGAATCTGTGGAGGGTCTCCAACCTAAAGAAGATATTACCGAGATGCAGTCCACAATGGGAATCAGGGTAAGGATTAATTTACTGTATATTACTGAATATAATGCTATTTATATTATCCTACAGTATATCTGTGAAAATAAACAAGTTGGCATTATGCAGACACCATAATAGTGAGTGGTAATATAGCATATTCACTAATTTAGGCCTACTTTTAATCTTGGTTACTTGGTACAACATTTCTTCAATTTCATCTTCTCTCTATTTCCTTATATTTCAAACATACAATTTATTACTCATGTTGACAAATTAAGGGGTGGGTCACATGGTGTTGGATAGCTCTGCATCAAAACTGGCAGCTTTTAATATTTTAGACTTTAGGTGGAGAAAGAAAGAAACAATATTTTACAAGCATAACAACTTGGGTTCACAAGGATCAGTGATATTAGCTGGTTCCATGGCCATGCCTCTTGGTAATGATTTTACAAGAATAACAACTTGGGTTCACAAGGATCATTTCTACTAGCATGTCCATAGCCAAGCCTCTTGGTATTGATTTTACAAGAATAACAACTTGGGTTCACAAGGATCATTTCTACCAGCTGGTACTGGGTCAAACCTCTTGGTAATGATTTTACATGGATTACAACTTAGGTTTACAATGATCCTTTCTACTAGGCATTGATCTTTCTCAGAGTTTCTCTGCACATTTAAGACTGAGTAGACTGTAGTTGGATAGCCAAATCAACAACAAGCTATATAGTAGACTGCTTGGTTATCAAGTAGGTTTTGTTCCACCTCAAGGCAAGATAATATCTTAATTCAAAGCCATTCTATTAGGAGTCTTTGCTGTGTCAGCTTTCAACCTATTGTTGTTTTTTCATTAAGCTGAAATGTCATTGTGACATATTAAATCTATTTTATTTAGTTTAAATTTCTGGATATTTTTAAGGCAGCATATCTTGTTGATGAATATTTGATGTTTTACCTCTCTTAATGATCTAATTAGGTTTCTCTAATAAAAGAGTTCCACATCATTGATGCTGTCAACTAATTAGAATTGATAATTTTCAGTATACTAGATATCTCAAGTCAATCTTTCTAGCTATCAAATCTATAAAAATATTCTCAGTTGAAATGAAGATTGAAAAATCAATTTTATCTTATAGGATTCCTAATTACATAGTTATTAAAAATAAATTTAATTTGAAAAAATGCTGAATTTTAGCAACGTTTATCATGTGTATAGATTGATTTTCGGAAATTTTAATTATTTTTGATTACATGAATGTATGAAAATAGGTGAAAGAATTATTTTGAAAGAAAATTTTAAATTGTTGAAAATATTTGGAATAGTAAGGAATGGATTGTTGGAAACAATGTTGTGTTCTTGTTGCTATGAATTGAATTGTTAAGGGATGTAAATTGTCATGGTAATGCCCAAATAGACTCTTGAATTGCAAAAGTTGTGCACCAAGAGAAAATTTTTGCCAGGACAAGAATCTTAGTAGGGGAGCAAGAGGGGGCAGCCCCTAACCCTAACCCCTTTTTCGGGCGAAAATCTCATAACTAGATTAGAAATTCAGGCAAATCAGATATTTCGCCCCCCTTGGATGTAAACCTGACTCCGCCCTGAAATCTTAGTCAACTGGTACCACAGATAACCTCTCAAACTTGCATAGTTTGTAGTTGACTCGCCAATTATACCTGCATTTGAAGAAGTTAGAATTATATATCATGTTCTCTGGTCATTTTGACCTCAACGTTGTCAGTCTACAAACTCTCCTAAAAACTATTGTCTATTTAATTAGTCTGAATTGTGGTAATTTCGTGCAGACGTTCTTTTCAAAATGTCATACTTTATAAAATGTCAGGGGAGTTTTTGTTGACATTGTCATGACGATTTAATTCTTTTTCAATCAAATTTCTTAAGATGTCTCTTCTTATGAATTTATCCTTAAAAGATTAAAAGAGTTTTTCTAGACTTTGTATGTGTATCGGGAACACATTTTGTTTTTTCCACTATTCTGTTTTCTTTTCTTTGATGTAACTTGACCAAATCATGAGGTTACCATTCAGTATTTGTGTTGACAATAGTGAGGTCATGACATGGTCAAGCTCCAGAATTACAAGAACCACAGACAAAAAATTCAATTGGTCAAAAAAACACAAACAAATTAAATATAGAAGCTATTAGTGTTTGAACACATATACAAATGATAGAAAATCTCTTTAGAAGTAGAGTTTAATCCAATTTATATTAAGTGAAAATATTTGACAAAAATGTACTTGAAGAATTTCAGAGAAATTACATCATGACCGAACTGCAAGACCAATATTTTGCAAGTGTATGAGGAATCAGATAATTTAGGTTTCTAATCAGACATCAATGGCAAGTATTGTCTAATCGACAACCCTGTATGAATAGCAAGTGACTGGTGAATATAGTCAAATAGGCAATTCAACTTTCTAGCTTCAATCCTGGAGTTTTTAAACCTTGATTCTAGTAATAAAGGTATTGATTTTGGCGTTTAGATTCCAACTGTGTTGCTTCTTATCAAATTTCCCCAGAATTGCGAAGATGGTATTCTGATATGGAATTGTTTTAAGATCGTTTGATTAGCAAGGCCTCTATTGATTCTCTGATGTCTTGATGAGTTTTTTTTTCTCTAAATTCAGTTTTCTCTCATATTCTTGGCTTTCTTTCATCTTTTCTAGAAGTCTGTCAACATTCGGAACATGGCAAACAAAAATCATTTAAATCGCGGCCGAAAAGTCAGTTTAAAACAAAACATTCGCCATTTTTATAATTATGTGAACAAACGAACGAAACGGACAGAGAAATTGGGACAGAAACGGCATCAAGTGATGAAATTAGTTCATTCTTTTTATGATGAAGTCTTGCTGAAACCTACGTCTGTTCCAGAACCCCCAAAAAAGGAGCGAGTCAAGAGTAAAAGCACGAGACAGACTTCGGAAGAGAAAAATGTGAAATTGTACAATAAACCGGGTTCAGCCGTTTATTCTGGAAAGTTTACTCACCCTGGACATTGTTCTTATGATGTCATACATCAACGACCAGACAGATTTCACACTGTTACTAAAAATAGATACAAGTTTTTAACGCATTCTGGAACTCATATTCAGAAATTTTGGCACCAAGATCCGAAGGATAAGTCTTCTCAAATACTGGAAAAGGTTATTTCAGGAAAGGAGAGTGATGGTGGTATTTTTGATGATTCTGAAGAAAGTTGGAATAATATCAAGGAAGGAAGTGGAGGAGATGTTTTTAATGGCGAAGATGATAATGAAGAAATTGATGGAGAATCCCAAAATGAATTAAATCACAATTTTGGGAATTCAAACAGAAAATCAACGTCAAAAATCAAACTAGACAGTCACAAAGTTGAAAAGGATATTTTGGATAAAGATGATGGAATTTTTTCGCCAACATTTTTTCCCCTCCGTCAGGAATTTGAAACAAAACCAGAAACTTCCACAGACTGGTTCCTGGAGAATTTTCCGAGGACATCCATGTTTTCTCTCCTGGAAGGATCATCCCAAACAATTCTCTGGGTATAGTTTTGAATTTTTTTATTGATGTGAAAAAGGGATAAATTCAATATCTTGCATGTTTTTAACAAATTTTGCATGAGTTTAAATTTCTTAGTATTTGGGGAATTTTGTTTTTGATTTTTTTGAGCAATTCATTTATTCAGTGGCAACAAGAGGGTCATTTTGCGTTTATTCAATGCATTTTCTTAATATAACTTATTCAAGAGTCTCAGAGGCATTTTTTGCTCCAAGAGTGAACATTTCAACAAAACTCAAAGCTTAGTACTTTTTCAAAAATGGGGCAGTGTAAAATATAATAAACAATTCGCATGGAATTTTTCCCTTTTTCACATGAATAATAATAATATTGGATGTTAAATAATGAATATTAGATGTTTATATATGATATTAATAATATTGATGTTATAGATACAGCATGTTTTATAATATATATACAGACTAGACTTGTCAAATTTACTGGTCAGGAGAAAGCTAGAGAAATTATTATCAATTGTCTTTTACCATCAGAAAAAAGAACGCTCACTTAGCATTATTCATTTGAAACCATCAATCTATGAAATTTAATTTAATCAAATTAATATTTAGCTTTTTTTCCATTTACATTTGTAAACAATTTGAAGGCCTCTAATTGGCCAATGTTATTATTAGTATGATATTAATAATACCTGATAGAATAAAGGAAAGGGCAGTCTGTGTAGTTCTGGATTCTCGAGTTATCACTGCTCAGTGTATGTATATAGGCATGTTAATGGTGAATATTATAATTAGATCTACTTGTATATATTATATTATCTATATTGAATCATGCTGTATCTAGGTTTATTTCTTTATGTAAATAGAGTTTTTTTTAAGGGAAATTAGGATAGTTTAGGATATAAAAAATGGGTGTCTTATCTTTAAGAACATAATCTTCAGCAACAGTTATCATCAATAAAATGTGTGGTGGAAACTTTCAATGAACTATCACTAAATATATTCTTCCATGCATTTTCAGATTTACTTAAGATTTAATAAAAAAAGAATATTGTATTTTAGTTTAAGAAATGTACCTTCATGTGTAGAAAACTTAGAGAGATCTTGTTTTATATATTTATAAGGTAATTCATATTACATACCAACAACATTCAATATAGCAAAAGCAATTTGCTTGTTTCCATCTTATGTCATTAATCATATGCTGATTTACTGTGTGTTTTATAGTCAGACTAATTAGACTAAATGTTGGCATGATTTATAAGGTTATGATTGTATTATTATATTCTATATATATATATATATTGCTGAAATGAACATGAATGTCTTTGAATAAAAAGTAGACTCTGTTTAAATGAATTTGTAAATATGAATTAATACCAAAATAATGTAAGCTATGTGGGCTCTGTGAAAAACAGAAGCTTATTGACAAGTAACAACATTATAAGTTAAAATAACTTCCTGTCAGAGAAGCTAAGTTGATTTACCCAACTGCAGTGTGGCATTAGACATTGAGACAGCTCAGTAAGTCCAGTCTTCCTCTTATGAATGCATCAAAAATTTATGTTTGGAATTTTTTGTTCTTCCATTTCAGCAGACTACGCCTAAATTAGGTGTTACTGATGACATCATATTTTCTGGTGCTGGAGCTGGTTGCCATAGTGATGATGAAGATGATTGTACATCTGTTGGTTCTGGGTTAGATGATGACATCATTACCCCCACAGTTATTATTAATACCACCCCTCAACCCCCAACTACCACCACTCCCAGGTAAGTTTGGTTTGTAATTTTGCGTTGGAATATAAGTCTGAATCTTCATTTTGAGTTTGAAAAAGTGATAAGTGGACCACAGTCATATACGCCCACCACGGCATGCGGCTGGTAAATATTCAAGATTTTGAGGCAAGGGCAATAACTCTGTTTCTAACGGTTGAAAATAGCTCAAATTCGAACTTGATCTTCGTTTTATGAATATGTATACACATACGGAATTTCATTTGCATTTGCAAGCAAATGTTGACGGACGGACGGATGGATCGACTCACAGTCGGACAGGGGTGCCAACAATATACGTCCACATAGAGAGATGTGGGCGTATAAAAATGAGGCAAAAGTGGTCTGTTGGATTAAAATACAGAATTTTTGAAAGTGACACTTTTTAGTCATCAGTTCAGAACTGAGGCATTTGCCTACCATTACGCTACTCAAATTTTCACACCTGGATTATATGGAAATATATATCAATATAACTTCTGTCTGATTTCACCTGGGAAATTTGTCTGTCTGATTTCACCTGGGAAATTGTCAGTCTGGCAAGAAAATAAATCAATAATCTTAGTTAAGGTAGCTGGTTTTTTCTATTTTCAGACCACGAAAGAGACCAATAATTTGTTCGGGACCTGATTGTAGATCAAGAGATAAATCCACTGATGATATTTTTGGACCAACACCAGATTATCCATACAATCCAGCTGGAATAGGGGGAGCTACTCCATTTTATCCGCTGCAAAGTAGTTTCCCGCCCAAGGGAGATAATAGTAAAGAATCAGTTGGAGGTGTGGCTACGTTAAATATTGGACTAATAGTAGGCATCGCTGCCGGGGTTTTGGTGGCGCTACTCATACTGATTTTCGCGTTGTATAAGTTCCGCAGTCGAGATGAAGGAACCTACAAAGTTGACGAGAGTCAGAATTTCTCATATTTGGAGTCTAAAAAGCCGCAAGGTAATGGTGCTTTACTGGGTGCAAATGATTCGAATAAACGGGGCAAGAAAAAAGACGTTAAAGAATGGTATGTGTGAAGAGTAAGGAACAATTCGAAGGGTATCGTTCGTTTGGTGGTTTACAAAGACATTGCTGTGATTTCCATCCAATTTGAAGATGTCTGTGAATCTGTGAACCAGGAGACAGAAAATGACTAAGGATATTGAATGTAGATATTTTTAAATTTATCGAGAAATGGTGGTATTCAGACGACTATTAAGGAACTAGCCAGAGAGAGATTGTTGTTGATAAATTGTTATCTGTAGGTGTGATTATGTGATATCGTGTGATTTAAAAATGAGATACCTTTCCAGACGAATATAAAAAACGTGCTCAATTGGTGCAAAAAATTGATTATCAGACTTGAAAATCAAGTACGCACGCAAAACATTTATTTCCTATTATGATACTTATGTTATGTTTTTTTGAAGATTTATCTTTGTGTTCATTGAGTTGTTATGTTTCAATTACAGTTTTTATTGTTTGCCTCGGGATAATTGTGCTACGGAAATTTTTTCAGCCATTTTAACTTGTATGGGTAGATGTGCAAAGATATTCGTAAACATCTGGGGTCAATTGTAACCGTAAACGGGTGTGGTCTATTATTTTAGGTGGTATAGATATTAATTGACAGAATAAGTCTAACTTGTTTAAGTTCTGTTACTATTTTTTCTACCCAAAAATATAATAAACTGTTTATGTTTTGATTTAGACCTGGGGTCTTATTCTAGAAAACTTAAGGTAAAAAAATACTGATTTTAAGAAGATTGGGTAGCAAAACTAAATATAAAATCAATTTTAATGATAGACCAATCAGATAATCAGATGACTGCAACACTACCATTATTCTAGTTAAGTTTTCAAGAATAAGGCCCGTGGATATATGAATATCAATATCTTTGCTGAACTATTACAAATTATTTTAAATCATATTCTTGTTGTAACTTAGTATATTGTTTTCTCAGGTCTATTATGTTTGTTTGTTTGTTGGTTTGTTTTTGTGACCCACCTCATATTCAATGATATTATAAGTAAAGTAGGTCATCAGTATTTATGCACATGCAGGACATCAAATGGAACAGCTTATTATTGTGTAAGGTAGAATTGGTGCAGAATTTCTTTAGCTGTCTATCCTACCTGTCAGTCAAGTAGATGAATCTATCCATATTGAAGTAGCTTCAAGTCCTCTTGTTTATGAATTAAGAAATTTGAAGTTATCCACCAAATAAATGAAAATGGTAAACTATTTTCAGTACAAATTCACATCCCTGTCTGTGCATAAATATTTTAGTTTGACTTCTGTATATAATTTTACTACTAAATGATATTATTAAAAGTGGGCTGTTGTGTTTACTTAACTTACACAGACATTTTGACATGAAAATCAAATTTGATCTTCAAATATTTACAAAACTGAACCTATCCGAGGTATGTTGGAGACCACCTTCTCCTCCCTATCTTCCCTGTGATCAATTTTCATTGTTCATTGTTCACTAATTGAGACTCATGGTTCAAAACTGCAGATATTAAATAAATGAACTGGACATTGATAGATTTTAGCAAGACTGACTGGCAAGTAAATCAAAATCAACAGCCCTGAAAAATAGCCTAGCTGTTTTTATTTTGATATAAATAACTATATATATAAGGTCTCTGATTGTATATATATCTGTATATAAAGGAGATATTATGAAAGATAGAAGTAGTCTTAGAGTAATTTTAGAGAATTTTTTAAACTCATTCTATAATTTATATACAGGTAGTTAACAGTCAGTTCTATCAGCTAGCTAGACCTATAAATAATTATAATTTAATTCTACTTCTTCATTGTAAAATAATCATCAGATAATCCAATGTTCACTTTAGATACTCTTAATTCCCTTTCCTACTCAAATAGAAAATCTGAGTCATGGCACTGATTTGGCCGCAGCAATTTCCTTTGGGACTTTTTGAATTCCTTATATTTTCTAGTTTTCTGTTTTTACTACCACTTTTCAAATTTAATTGATTTTTATCTGTAAAGTATTTTTTGGCTAAGCACCTGCTTTTCAGTTTTTTCCTCTCTTTGTTATTTGTTATGAATATTTAAAGCATTCCTTTAAACTTTTATCAACTTTGTTATCAACTTTGTTATAAATTTTATTTAAGATAACTTCTAGAATGTTTTTGGAGACCTTGATGAATAAATTCTTGATATCTATTTTACCAGCTGATCTGGCTCATACTTCCAGCTTGGACTGAGCTCTGTCCTGTTCTGCTCATCTGGCCCAATTCATCCTAAACACAATCAGTCTACTTTATTTGTAAGTAGAATAAATAGTAATAAAAAAAAACAACGCGCAAACAGTAGGTAATACATCAATACAATTAACAGTAAATGTAGCTATTTTTCGGGACTAATCTTTTTATCAAGCAAAAAAAAACAAAAATCAAAAGTAGACAAGAAAGGTGTTAACTCTACTCTACAGACTAAACTTATATTGTGTTGATTATTATTTACACTACCTAAAAATAAAATGGGCTGTTTATATTTGTATGTTTTCAGAACCGACTATAAATTACTATAGATAACTATATTCCAGTTTTAACTATTATCTGTGATATTATTTTCATTTTGAATTCTTTTTTTCATTTCAATCTCTATTTTTTTGATAAAATGTTCACTTTTTAAAGGAAACATTAGTGTTTATTTCATTCTTAACAAATTTTAATCAGTTGTTATTAGTTTATTTGCATTAAGCCATTTTAATCCAGATGTTTGAGCACATCAAGCTTTATTTCTATGTACTATGCTACTATTCTCAGTATATACCATGAAACTCACAAATACCTTTTCTTATCATTGCTTAAAATCATTGATTAGGCCTAAGTTTATGATCACAAATATAACTGATAGTGATGTCAATGTGCTCTGAAAAACCTTATATAATAATAATAGGCCACAATATAGAACTGAGTAAAGTTTCAACTTCATTCTGTGTCTGTACTTAAAACACATGTAATCAGTAAAACGACTACCTATGTATATGTATCTGTATAGAATACAACTGTTGTATATTCTGTATATTGTATTATATTATGTAGAATGTATTGTAGTATGTCAATATACATAAAAACCTGTCTGGGGATTATACATTCATTGTACAACAGTTATGTAGTAGGGGAGAGTGGGGATACTTGGGACAGTGAAGATTTCTGTACCAGCAATAGGATCAGGACAATAAGTAGGTAATTGTAAGATGAATTAAGCAGTTCTATGACATTGATTGGCATGTTTGTGTTAGTAGAATATGGTTATCTGATTAAGATGTAGACCTACCAATATCATATTTAAACAAGTGTATCAATTAATCTTTAAATTTAATAGTAGACATAACTATAGAAAAAAAACACTATCATGAATATACTACTCCTACTAGCAACGTTTCAACTCACATACAGGAATCTTTATCAAGTGTATGAATTGTTGTACAACTCTATGAATTGTTGTACAACTGTATGGCCCCAGATAAAACATGGACAATGTAAATTTCATCCTCATTAGCTCTATGTTATCTGTATGGTCCTGTATCATAATGTTTATCAGTAAAATAATTTTATATACAAAACTTGTTTTTATTTATAAGCAACAAGGATTACCTGCCCTGGCTCATTTATAGCATGTTCTCCCACTAACTACTTGTTCCAGCTCATACAGAGGCTCTGATTGCTTGGTGCCAAAAATATCTTACAAAAGTCCCATTAGATTCCACAAAAAAACTCTCCTTGATCATACATGATAGCCTTTTGAAGTTTGATTGCTGTACTGGCCAATCATGTCCAAACTTAACTGGCAGAATCCCGATCAGTTTAACAACGAACCCACTCCAGATGAAATATTACCAGGCATTAAATTAAGACATACAGAGAGGACTGGAATGTAATACAGCATGTTAAAACAAAATCACTAGGGAGGGGCCCAATCTTATTCAGTCCAGGAGCCCCCCACTATCTGGTTAAGCCACTGGTCATGATCAGAGTCCGCAAACACCAGATGCTTCATACTACATTTAGACTTTTAGACAGGTATAAGTTTTTCTGTCTCTTCAGTTGCAATGCTTGTATAGCAACCATAATATCATACACAAATCTCTGTTCCCTTTAACAAATCCAAGTGCATGTATTGTGTAAGTATTGCATAGCATACAATAAATCTCTATTTTGTCAGGATTGAAAAGAAATATATTACACTTGATTGCTACTAAATAACAATATATACATGTAGATAAAACCTTAAAGAGATTTAACAAAGAGGTTTGTAGCCATTGTGTATTTGAGACCTTCTATTTGCAACTTTTAAATCTGTCGTCTGTCATTGTTCCTGTAATTCAGATAGATTACTAAAGAACGAGAATAGTAGGACGTGTCCAACACCTGAGCTACTATTAAAGATTTATCTATTACAGATCAAGTGCCACCATAAATAGTATATACTGAAGGGCACTTCACACCGCAATCGATTGGGCACTTCAACTGTCGATTTTATCTGAATAGTTTATCAGGTTTTCCGGCAAACCGAGATATCAGTACAGTAAATTATACAGTGTCATTCAGTAAAATAAATAAAGGTATCCATTCCCTTAGTTATTGCAGATGAACAGTCGTTTTCTATTAGAACTTCACCCATGACTACAATAGCCACCTCTCCTGTATCATGGAAGTTTGTAAATGAAGCGCTTTCATTAGTACGATAGGAAATACAGCCAACCAGAGGCCTCAACAGAATGTCTGTAAACACAAAACCATTAAGCCTTTCTGTCGAGGGTTCTGATTGGCTGTTTTTGCTGGCATATAATCTAATCAAATTGCAGCATTCCGTGATACAAGAATAGTGGCTATTGTAGTCAAGGTAATAGCTTGACATTGGGAAGATAAAGTGTGTAATAGCTTGACATTGAGAAGATGAAGTTTGTAATAGCTTGACATAGTGAAGATGAAGTTTGTAATAGCTTGACATTGTGAAGAAGAAGTTTGTAATAGCTTGACATTGTGAAGATGAAGTTTGTAATAGCTTGACATTGTGAAGATGACCCTAAATGGATAAAACATTGATGGTATAACGGGTCCCTTTAAATGTGTACGAGCATACCTAACTATTTGTCCTATAACATTCTATAACTACTTTCAACAACGTTAATGTCTTCTATTATACCGCAATGATAGGTCACAGGTTAAAAATATGTAAAGACTTTCCCTACAATATAAATGAAAATATGAAAAGGTTTATAATTCAGGCCATAAATTACTATAGGTTATTACTCCAAACAATTTCTCTTTAGATCTATATTGTGTATTACATGGTCGTGGATTTTTGGATATTTTACTTTGGGTTTGTCATTACAGGTAATTCATTTTACGATTTTAGATTGCTTGGTGTAGGTTAGGGGGGTGAGGGGCGTGTTCGTCAAATCAATTTGCTGTCGGACAACAATCATCGTAAAAATTCAAGGAAAAGGCACGGAAGAGTACAGAACAGTAGGGTGCCAACATGGTCAAGGTAGTGGGGCGTTAAACTTTATTTCATTTTATAGTAGAGCTACAGACGTTTTATCTTTTTCTGTTCGATTTAAAGATTACAACTGCTGTCTACTAGGGAACTACTCCTGAATACTAATGATTAGTCGAGAATTAATTACAGTACCACTATAGAATATCCTGGATACCATTTTCTTGGTTCCAAACAATACCACACAATAACCAGTATTCAATATAATGATTTTATAGCCGAGTTTCTGTGACACTAATTACCTACATTGTGGTATATTTCACCTGACTTGTACTGGAATATACAGGTCTTTGATGGTGGGGACTTCAATATGGCTCGGAAATGTTAGGAATTTTTTTGGAATTTCTTTAAAAATGGACTTAAAATGTTAGTTTTGGTGAGTTCGATTAGTTTCCGCTACACAGGGGTTTGATGGTGGGGTATCTCAATATCGCTCGGAATGTTTTGGACTTTTGTTAGGGATTCTCTTGTTCGAATAAACCATTGAAGTTAATTTTAGTATTTTTTTTGTTTTTCAGATATATCAGCAATGCTGGTAGCCTCTTGAAGAACAAAATGAGATTCTGGTAAGAATTCTTAATATTCACAGACTGGTGTCTTGAGGCGAGCCAACCGGAGACCATTCTCAATGATATATTATTTGTAATGTGAGGATTTTTGAAATATTAAAAAAGAGCAGACGTATTAGAATTAGTGAAATTATCCTTAAGGTGAAAGATGGATTATTAAGTGTTTATATCACAGGGATTATTACAAAACTGATAGAAAACTGTCCAAGAGGAAAATTTGACATGACTTCACCAGACGAACAACTTGGTTCCTTCTTCTTCACTGTCAAATATGGTAGTAAGTATTTAATTTTAAATTATTTCATCAAACCATCCATTTAACTTGAAATAAAATGAAATAGTGTCTGAATATCACAGAGCGTAACACTCTAGAAACAAACTTCAAATTCTGATTCGATATTTTTCTGTCATGTTAGTTGCTGATCAAAGTAAAAACAAACCCTTGGGGGGGGGGGGAGAACGTTCTCTCGCAAATCTTCCTTGTTAGAATATGATTATTTTCATTTGCTATGTTAAGTTGTTCACAATTATAAAACTGTTTTCAAAAAATACTTTAAAATGCAATAAGTATCCTATTGATAGGACTCTTTCAGTAGATAATGACATAACGCTTTAACTCGTGATTAATAATTTCATTAACTTCTGGCTCACCACCCCCACCCCTTGTCCACCCTTAATAAAATACTACAAATCTGGAATTAAAAATGTATCCTCTTCATTCATATCATGGCTATGATTGGTACCAGAAAATAATAGTTTTCTGTGATTTCCCCAAAAACCACATGCATCATCCATCCACGACCTTGTTTCTAACTGCTGACAAATTCTTTAATCACTAACGTATATATTGGTAATGAAGAATACTCTGATTTGTTTACAGGTAACGAGAGTAAGATATTTAATGCCAATTGTAGAGTAGAACATTTATTAGATAATATTCGAGAACAGTGTCATTGTTCTGATCAAGGTAGGTTAATACCGGTAGTATTAATTCTTTCTGATTTACAGTGGTACGCAACGAAGTGGATGAAGTGGAGTAGCGCTGCAAATCAGAAAGCACTAATACCAGTCTGTTAATATTTCAGCCATGTTGATGTGTCAGAATGGTGTTTCAACGTAAACTGGAGCCTGAAGACAATTTTCTGAAACTATTATTTCCTCAATTATAATCGATAATTCTTGGCCATATATATTAATCCATTTGCTGCTACCAGTGTACACGTATAACCTTACTGTGAAATTGGATATTGAGTTTTATTTTGCGGTTTCAATCAGTTGAACTGATGTTTTTTATTCTGTGGTCAGAAGGGGTTTTCTGGTTTGTGAAATACTCCACACTTCCATGATTCCCATTATTAGAATATCGTGTTCAATTGGAAAGGTACCGTGTACAAATCTTGGCACTGTGGTTGGTTTTAATTAGACTTCCGACACATGTCAAACTACCGTGTTAGTCTGGAAAGAAATTAATGGGGTATTGTAGGCAAGATAGTGAGGTTTTCACATACACCAAGCTATCGTTTCCTAGTTGGTAATAAACTGTGCTTGACACCGATCAGAATTGAGTGATGCAAACACAAAAACCTAGCTGATAGAAATATCCCCGACCCATGTTAGGTTAGAATTGTGTTTAATATTATAAGATATATTGGACACAATGGTAGTTTTGTATGTTCCGAATGAAATGGTCGTTTTAATGCTAGTTTTATAATTAAGATTTCCAAAATAAGTCAATCTTCTGTATAAAATGATTAATCTACCCTGTACAATGGCTCATCTGTCTATGATCTATTTTCTCTGATTTACTACCAATAAGAGGCTTAACACACAATTTTCTCCTCTATTCAAATTTCATATTCATTTTATTGATCGTATTTGAATATTATTCAGAAGTACTGAATGTTTACAGCACAGGAGGCGATATTCTTGAGGTAGCCTGTCCGTAACTGTCAAAAATATTTATCAAATAAATATTTGATGCTGCTCAAACGAATAATGTTTGGTCATTGCATGTCTGTAGCAATGGTTATCCTTGCCCCTCTCTTTCGGCATATCCAGGCCCGATTCAAAATCAAATCACGAGCAGTCCACTTAAAATTTAAGGATAAAAATCAAGACAATGCAAGTTTATGGTATATTTTCTCTTTAACACAAAGATATATCAGGATATTCTCCCCTTGCATGAGTATATAGGCAATATTTAAACTATATTTTGTTATTGTAGATACAATAGAATTATCTGATGAACGAGGTCGAGTTAAAAATATTAGAAATAAAAAAGATGATTTTGGTATAAAATTTATCAATGAAAGAGAAAATGTTATTTTACTCAAGGTCGAGGTCGACGGTAGGTTGACTTTTTAAATTGTATGAAGTATGGTTCATTGTACCGTTCAGATGGTTCTTCGGTACCCTTCCCTATTAGTACGTTCTTCCGATCATTGAACTGTATCAAAAGACCGAGGTTTCGAGCTTTACAAATTCATTTATTTAGCTGTAAGGTTCCAAGTTCATGTATGAGCTCGTCACTCACAACACATTTCTGGAATCCGAACATCAACCTTCGATTGGAATTTCCAGATCCAAAAAGCTGTCAGAGAGTCAATTGGAATATCTAATACGGATAATAGGCCTAAACTGATGACTGCTAACGCACAAGATTATACCCAGCTTCAATTCTATCCAGTCACAAATATTTCAATTATACTTATTTTTGTTTTAAAATTACTTTTTAGGTTCCAGTGCAAATAAAGAGTCCAACAATAAACCCAAGTTTATTCCATTGTTAACAGAATTACAGGATAACACGGCTTTTATAGGTTAGTAGAAATATTAGACCTTTAGATTCTACATGTGGATTGTTCTGTATAGACCTTAAATATAATGTACATGAAAATTAAATCATCTATAGCACTCGAGTTGTCCGTCAACCAGCTGGTCCTTGGTTAAAACCTCTTATAGAAATCTTATAGGCATTGCAAGTATATTGCGCAAGGATTTCAACAAGGTTCACTAGTCGGCACCAAAATCTTGGAATTGATCGTTCCTATTTACCACTGGGCCACTGGATCATCAATTACTTGGCTTGGTAGGCCTACCCATTTACAATTGGTTAGACTGGAATAACGAGCGATACTACTTACTAATTTCAGAGGCCGTAAATCTAGGAAAGACTGGAGACGATCCAGTTTTAAGACGGAGATCCTCGATGACGCCATCAGATCAGGGTGAAATGACTGGAAAAAGTGGTGGAAAAACTAAGTCGTCTTCTTCTAAAAAGAAAAGTTTTGGCAGGCGTCAAAGCTCACGGGTTATGATGAAAAGATGATCTCATTTTTTGTATATAAATTGTTGATAGTAATAAAGTTAGTCTCTAGAGATATACTACCATTTGTTTTATTTACAAATATACCATTGTGGTAAGACATTAGGGTAAATTCTAAATCGGACTGCGCAATCCCAAGCCAGCTTAACAGCAAGAAGGCCAGCCACCAACTAGTAACAATGCGCAGTAAACACATATTGGTTGTGCATGTGTTTGGGCGGGTGGGCGAATATGAACTCTAACATTAGTAATACATTTCAATACACAACACAAATTGCTCTGTCCGACATCTCACCCAAACTCTCACGTGCAGTATACTAAGCGAATGAACTTGATTGTTAAGTTCAAGTCGGCGTTCGTTCAACCAATTAAATACAAATTATAATTATATAATTTACAGCCATATTTCTGTATGTTCTCCTCTGACAAATGTGTTACAATGTATTGATGTAGGATTATCTAGAAAAGTCGTGTTTGAAATGTAAGTGGCATTTCAAAGCCGGTTGCATCTGTTTATTTCTTTTAAAAAACAAGATTCTGTCCATAGCTTTGATTAATTTTGATTGATTATCAGGGGAATTATCGGAGAAATGAGCAATAGTTGTGGATCTTTAAAAACCCGATCTACTGATATTCTGAATTTATATTTTATGATCATTGTCGCATTCTGGTAGAACCCAGTCCCTTGCCCACACGGCCACTCCCCCCCCCCCCTCCGGGCATTCTAAATACGCCCTTGATTATGATATACTACAAATACATTTATATCACTACATTTATTGATAGTCACCGATGGAGGTTAGGTTCCCTTATACTTTGCAACAAGCAATAAATTAATTCAAGAAATCCAACATCTTTACATTTTTTTATAGAAAAATATCTGATATAATATACCCACAGAGCAATTTTAGTTTAATACGAACAGTAAGGTGGTGGGGAGGGGTGCTAGGTGTCTGTGTGGCACCGGATAGCACCCCAATAACATACGCCCACTTGTAACCAGTATTATAATACTGATAGACAGACAGACTGTTTAGGAGGGGTCGGGGTTGGCTGGGTTAAGGGATAGTGATATGATTTGTTTATTGTTACTTAAATATATTTTTAAAACCGTGTGTATAGTGGACAAGGAGTGTGTGGTTTTTAGTGTTTAATTCTTCAAATATAAACGACGCGATTCATTTTATTATTTATAAAATAGAGTAGCGGTATATTGTGATATTATTTCACTGGAAGATTTGTAAAGTTGTTCACTTGTTTTATTTTATTATTACCCAAGTTGGGTCTATGTGAAATTTTTGCTTGTCTTTATTTATGAATAGAAATCCGTACAAGCAAAATCTCGTCCAATGTAGGCCAAATCGAGAGTAAAAGTAGTATAGTAGTGGACTCCTCCAAAGAGAAGTACCATCAGTTTATATTTACCAAGCTGGCATTTGATTTCCAAACTATTTAAGCTTTTTGTGTTTTTCTCCTGCATTTCCAATCCAGATTTATGAATAAATATACAAGGGGGTTTAGTGTGTTTTTCGGAGAGACAGTCATAGATATCCTCGGCTCAGCTATCCCAGATGAGAGAACGGACTGTCAAAGAATAGTCGTCAAGACTTTAGATTTAGAAGAATCGGAGAAAACTTGACGAAACACTTACTACAAAGAATCGGATACGATGAATCCTCTTGACGAATGGTACGAGAACTATTTGAAATGGCCAGAGCAAAAAAACGCTAGTATATATTGTAGAAAATCGAATAAAAGAAGCTGGAATGTTCAAATGAAGAAACGTTGATGTGAATCTATTGAAAGTGAAAAGTAATGAATTCTCTGCTATAGAGAAACGAATAATGAAGATAGAAACCGTCATGCTGCTCAAAAATAAATATGAAATTTATAGTAAAGGAAATCGAAAATGTTCCACTTTCTATGCAGAAGGATAGATATACCGGAACAAGTTTTGAAGGGTGATGAATTCTCTGTCATAAAGAAACGAATAAAGAACATTGAATGAACGTAGCTGAGGATGAAAAGCAGATGCTTGTAACCAGACAGTGAGATCATGACCTACCTTAAACGTTTTAGGGACGGGCTCCACTTCTGGACTATTCTGGAACCTGAAAACATGTGCATGTTATTTTATAGGTTAACTAGTAGTTTACACGTGCACGAGAAGAGAATTAAACACTAAAATCCACACAAGTTTTGTTGTTGTTGTTGGATGGTGAATTTGTAAGAAAAATATTATAAATGTGTTGAGCCGTTGTCGTGTTGTTAACTCATGAAAAGTGTCAAAGTTGGGGATCCATAAAGAAAAGTCAAACACAACAATTTTAATCTTTTTATTGCATATCTGAAGAAATATCTAAGATAATTTGTTTTAATTTAAGACGAAATTTGATAATGCAGCCTACTACTACTGTACATGTCATGGTGATGTGTGTATGCATATGTAAAGGTTAATCTCCGACCACTGTGATTTCAGGGCAGAATTTCCTTGTAATTAACCAAAAACTCAAATTCTCAAATGTTCATGTGTAACAGAGCAATAGCGTATGAAAATGAACCACTTTTTTAGACTCTGGACAATCAAATTTTAAGTTTCCTAAACTCAAATGTTTATAATGATTAGAATTCTCCGTAGGCCTCTACTTTTTAGCTTATATTTCCATTTAAAAATGAATCAGAATATGATTCTGAAACCAAAGTGGTCGTGTAAGGGGGGAATGGGCTTTCGGAGGCTGTAGGGAAGGGAGGGGGCAAGTTAAAATGAAAACAACTCACAGATTAGGCGCCATTTTCCTTCCAATTCCAATACCAAATCAAATTTTCTTTTTTTTCAGCTTCTAACCAATAGAGAGACTGTTCATTTTTCTTGTGATCATTCAGAATTCGTCACAGTATTGTATTTATATCAGTCAACAACGACCACAGAAACAAAGTTTGTAATGCACGTGTCTTGACCTATTTCAACAATTCGGAGTGATCGTTGTTCATTTACGTGTAGCATTTCTTGTAGCCTTTTCATCTTTCCAAGCACCGTTTCACATCCAACAGAATTGATCACCTCAGTTCTAATTTCTCAAAATACAAACAAATGTTGAACATTTTTCTTTCAAAAATGGACGCCACAAGTGTTTCTGCAATGACGTCATAACAACAATTTCCACCTTTTTATTAAAGAGTTATTTTATGGACAACCATGACGTCAAAAATACATAAATGAATTGTAAGATTATGAGGGTTGAATGTCGGCACCAGAACGACTCTCGGAAGCACTGACGGGGGAAGATTCTAGTTGTATCTTGATGAGGATTGAACGTTGATGTACATAGGTAGTGGCGGAGCCAAAGGGCCCGGGAGGGCAAACATCTCATAACTAGGTTAGAAATTCGGGCAATCTAAGATATTTCGCCCCCACTTCCCCTCTGATGTAAACCAGGCTTCGCCACTGTACATGAGACTGGCATTGATGTAGGGGAGACAACTACATATGTATTTTGGAAAGTAAAACTACAAATACTTTTCTTTAAGGTTGCTTCTTGAAAGCCTTGGATAAAAATTACATAAACCAAATTGTTAGCATCTGAGGCAATGAAGACAAATGAGGTGTACAATGAGGGAAATTTTGCCAAGACAGATCATTGCGTATTATCATTGTCGACAGCCTTTAGCAGACGGGGCTTCCGTTTATCATTTCTCAGAACGAATAGGCGACTAACTTATTGCTGTCCTACTGTCCTGATATTTCGTGAAATTATGAATTGTTTTATTGTGAACACAATACTTATTGGAGTAAGGTCTCCGTCACACTTATTGGCTGTAACTTATCAAAGCTGTAGGCATATAAGTATTGGAAATGTGGACGTATATTGCCGTCGCCCCTGTCCGTCAACATTTCTTGTGAACACATGAAGCTTGGTGTGATACTGTATATTGATGAGATCTTGGTCAAGTTTGACGATCTTTCGATGAACGTTTTTTAAGTTAGTGCCCTTGACTTAGGAAAAACGCGTCAAAATTTGTTTGTAAACACAATAGAGACTACAGTTTTCAACTGATTTTAATGAAATTTGGTGTGATCATTTATATTGGACAAGTATTTTGAAACATGTATTTTGGTAGGTGTTTTTAAACATTGGCAATCACGTTAACCAAGTATAAATGCAGAGGATGTAAACTTACTCGGAAGCGGATAGATCTATGTCAAACAGATCTAGTTCATCTTTATAATTGCATTATATTGATAAATGAAGACGAGCAACGACATGCATTGTGAAATGGGGATAATTTGCCAGGAGAGCGGCATTAGCCTACTCTTTATCGATTTCCAACTGTCGAGAGATCAATAAATGTGCACAGCCTTAAGCACAAGGGGCTCCTGTTTTTTATTCCATCCGAACAACTAGACCCCTTTTCTATGTCCTCTCCTACCTGCATCACTGACAAGGGGGAACCAGGTTAAAAATTCAAAAAGATTATCCCAGGTTACCTGGACACAGCTATCCGCTTTCACAAAAATATTTTAAATACAAACGTTTAATGAAGAGTATTGGACCCCATTCTCCGAGAAGAAAACATGGATACAGTGAAACACGGTAGTAATAATAATAAAAATGTATGAAAATAGAAGCTAGCACACCCTTAATTACACAAGCTCAATTTATACTGGTGAAAATCACATAAAATATCTTTTGAAACTCGCCCGGACTTAAAAATAAAAACTTTCCTGCCTGATTTTTTGGGCTCAGAACATGATAATACACTAAAGAATATTGCATCCTCAAATATCATGGCTCAAATCTGCTCAAGATCAAATCAAAAAGAAAATATTTGGAGTTTTACACCCTATTTTCTGCACTTTATTTGGGGCTGAAGAGTTTTCAAGTGATGTTTTATTTGACTAACAAGCAGCAGTAAGTAAATCGTGGCTTAAACAGAATATTTACAATATTTAAACTCTAATGACTAGACAGCGAAAAAACAAAACTAACAAAAAATCAATATTGGTCTTTTTGGAAACTTATGCATACGTACGTTATGACGATATGCCAACATTCATGGTTTAATGATTTTTGAGCTAGAAATAACTCCTGTTCTCTCATGGATTATAATGTCAAATACCAAACCAGTTTTCTTTTTGGAGAGGAAAGACATACACACTGATCTAGGAACGTCCAAAACTTAGACAAGAACAGTCCATTTTATTTTCAGGTAGTTAAAGTAGTAATCAATACAATTATCAGTATGTATAGTTTCTATTATTACCTAAAAATAAAGTGGGCTCCTCCTATTTATATTTTGAATCAGGCGCAAATATCTTTTCTTACTGACCGTCATGAATTAATTTCTGAAAAACTTATTAAACAGCAAACCATGAGCTCTTGTCGATAAATATACTGAAAAATTCACAAAAAAAGCTTAAAAAAATTTTGCATTTATATCTTACTCATGTTTCAAAATGAACTTTATTGAGCACTAAAAATCAAAATATAAAAAGGTAATTAGATGACATTATTGAGCATGAAATAAGCTGAGATGAGGTGAATAATAGACAGGTATTGTGTAAGGTATGGGATTATTGATACAGTAAGGAATAGATTATCATGTCCACATTGTGTCCAGACCACTACCTCCTGTATTGCTTATTCTATTTTCTACTGTCTTGATAACCCCATACTATACACCACACCTGTTCTTTTATTCTTTGCAACTTTAGACATGAAACATTGAGCTAAATGTTGAAAATAAATAGGTAAGTAGTAAATAACATTATACAATAAATTCTTCCAGTTATAGAATGAATATTGCTAGAGTTGTACAGCATACTGTACTATTATCTTCACTAACACCATCAGTGAAATAAAGGTAATTCTTTGTTTATTTTATACTCAAAAGAATGTTTATGTTATAGAGTAACCAAGTCTCATCTCAAAACTTGGATTAAAAATTTGAAATCTTGAAAATTGAAAAATGTGACCTATAGTATCATTGGTTTCATTTGCAGGATTTTACATAGAGCGATTTCAATCCAATAATGGGAACAGAAATAGTGCTGAAAATAATAATATACATTGTACTAAATATAAAATAAAAATTAAAGACATGAAAATAATGATCACATAGGTTAAATATTTACAATATTATTTACAAATCAACATTAACATTGCCTTCCATAATCCAACAAATTCTATATGACTTCCTTAATACGACATCCATTTAACTTCCTTAATCCAACAAATTCTATTTGACTTCCTTAATCCAACGAATTCTATTTGACTTCCCTAATCCAACGAATTCTATTTGACTTCCCTAATACAATGACTTCCTTAATCCAACAAATTCTATTTGACTTCCCTAATACAATGACTTCCCTAATCCAACAAATTCTTTTTGACTTCCCTAAAATAACAAATTCTTTTTGACTTCCCTAATACAACAAATTCTATGTGACTTCCCTAAATAATTAATCAAACTGTTTTAATATTGCTAAGCTATTAAAGGGTTCCCAATAATCATATCGAATATCAAAAAATATTTTACCAAATATAAAAATAGTCAATCAATTTTTGTATGTATGATCTAATGATAGTAAGATGATATTTCTCTTTCCAAAAATAAGTTGTTCCCATATATTTGATGAAATTCATATGATTTACCAAATGCACATGCAAATCATGTGCATGACATATAATGAGTCACAAAAATAAAGACTGTCACATATAAACCAAAACTATACTAAAATAATTTTTTCCATTCCCAATTAGATGTTAATATAATGACTAAAAATAATTCCAAGACAACACAGACATCGAAAGATTATATTTATCAAATGATTTAGATGAGTTGAGATATTTGTGAACTATCAGGAATCGAATGTGAACAAATACCCTCCCTCCAATATACTCACAAAGTGTTGGATATATTTGCATATACAATACACACATTTTACATACAAAAGATATCATATTCATATTTTCAATTTGAAAAAGTAAAATTTGCAATTGTGTTGTAACATTCCTCAGTATCTTGGCTATGTTAACTATTTCTATCTTCAATAATACAGTTCACAATACAATATAGTGTATTACAATTGTAAATAGAAAACTGTATTGTATTACTGTACAAACACAATTGAGTTGTAAATACAAAACAGTATTGTCATTACAAAAGGTAATGAAAGAGTGAACTGATATTACAAAAGAGTGAACATACAAATTTGTATTACAAAAACAAAATAATGTACACTTGTAAAATGTTTGTACATTGTCAAATATCATGTGGATTACAAACTCTATGTCATAGTTACAAACATTGTACACAATACATACAAAACATAATGATATACAAAATAGTATACAATGCAATATATGGTATTAATGCAAGGGATTTGTATACACAAGACTGGGTGTAGTATAATACAAACACCCCTTACTGGTAAATGAACTATTCCACATTTAGAATCTTAAGATTGACAATATTGCATGTGAAGAAGAGTTCAATACAAGTATAGGGGTGTTAGCAATGGGTACACTATTTCCATTTGACAGAAAAGGAGAAAGACCCCTAGTTTGTAAATGAACTATTCTACAAGTAGTATCATATAAATGGAAAATAATGCAGGTGTAGAAGAGCTCAATACAAGACAAGGGGTGTCAGCACCAGTTGACACTATTCCACTAAATATCTAATGGCGCATTGTAGAATATTTAACAAAATAAAGCTAACAAATGACTCATAGTGACTATAGTACATGCCCAAGTTGTTTGTCTAATGTTCCAGGATGATAAAGGCATTTAGTGGTCCATGTCTGTATACAAAATTCCAGTAAAGAAAATATACAAGGTGAAAAGTAAACAAACAAACAAACATTTTTTAAATTAACTGACAACAATTACATTATTTTCTGTTCCATCTTCACCACAATGAATTGGCTGAAAAATATAAATGATTGACATGAAACTGATTTGTGTTTCCTACTTTCCTACGACTGCTAGAATGAAAAGCAGTAATTTTAAGATTGTGCTAGTTGTTTCCCTTTAATTCTAGACTAGATTCAAGTATGTAACAGTAACATTTCAGTCTCCTAACAAGAATATTCTAGTACTTTAATAGATTACATGCTCCTGTTAAGTGAATTCATTTAAGTAGCCCATATTTCTTTAGCTTGAATATTAAAATTTCAGTTTCTCCATTTCCATCTCAACTATCCTGATTATGGATCAGATATCTTAACCATGTGTTGAAGATACAACTTTAAAGATTAAATAGCAAGCAGGAATCTCTATTATTAAAGCCGTAATCAATTATTGCCAGTCTAGAAGATGGGGAAACACATATGTGGAGTTGTCCATGGCCAAGCCAACAATGGAGGAACCAAAGGGGTAGTGGGGGCAGCAGACTCGCAGCCCTGAAGGAATTTTTTTCTGGCAAAAATCTAATAACTTGGTTAGAGATTCAGCAATCTCTGATATCTCGCCCCCTCTCCAGACTCCGCCACTGCAAGCCAACCCCCTTCCCCTCTCCATCATTAACACAAACTGTAGACTTGAGATTACAACCAACCAACCTACCTGATCTTTATTAACTACCCACTGATCATCTACCAGATATTTATAGAAATGTTGTCCTGTGGGTAGATCTATGGTGGTTTTAAAACCATTTTCTCTACAATACAAAAACATATATCAACATTCAGTCTTTATTCAGGCTTATATCCAATAACAGAATGTTGCACCCTACCATTAATGCTCCAGATCAGGTGGTTGTGAAACACTATGCAGTGTGCAATGAAGGTAATTTTGCATTACTTTTCTTATTTCAAACTGTTGAGGGATGTTGAGTATGTATAGCTTGCTGGACATGTGACAATAGTTTATCATAAAATCCTTAGAACTAAAAACCTAACCATATCAAGTCTTGCATGTATAACCTCAGTGAGAAACAATGGGACATGGAATAAACTCTACCTGGGATCTTTAAAAATAGGTAAAATAAAACTTACTGTTTTTCTAATGTGAATTTTTCTTTCCAATCACTGAAAGTACCAGAAACTTGGACATTTTCACCTTCAAGAGGCCACTGAAATTCTGTTGATACTTTGTGATCTCCATTCTAAAAAAAATCAAAGATTTAACATTAAAGTACTTTTTAAAATGATTGCCTATGGGCAAAGTTTGGAAAATAGAATCACCAACAAACATGAACCCCGGTCAAAACATCTTTACGTTACTTGTTGAAGATTCAAATTTAAGCATTCTCACAGCTGATTGGTCCATTGATTATAAATTTAGTTTATCAACCAATTAGATTATCCAAGTTAAGTTTGAGTAAAAATAACATTCTTAAAACACCTACCATGTGACCATTGACATCTGGAGCACCATTTGTAATGTGTTCACCATTACTTGGGGACTCTGGTTCATGAGTACCGTTCTGCTCTGTGCCATTCTGATCGGTTCCATTCTGTTCGAGGGGTTCTGGTGGGGGTGGGGGTGCATCTTGCATGTTGTCTTCAACCTCTGGGGCTGCCACTGGTTCGGGTTCAGAAGGCACTTCTGGTTCAACTGGTGCTGGGGGTGCAGGTTCACTTTCTGTTTCAGCTGGGGTGGTACATTCAACGGATTCTGGTTCTGGTGTAGGTTCTTTAACTGGTTCTGGTTCAACTGGAGCTGGAGGTGCAGGTTCTGATTCTGGTTCTGGAACAGGTTCTGGATCTTGAACTGGTTCTGGTGTGGCTTCTACAACTGGTTCTGGTGTAGGTTCTTTCACTGATTCTGGAACTGGAGTTGGTTCTGGCTCTGCCACTGGTTCTGGTAGAGATTCTGATTCTGGTTTTGCTGCTGGGGGTTCTGGTTTGGTTTCTTCAAGGGGTGCTGGTGGTTCAGGTTTGGTTTCCTCAACTTTTGGGGCAGCAGGTGTCTCCTCTTTCTTTTCTGTTTCAACTGGTTTCTCTACGACAGCTTCAACTTTGTTGTCTGTAACTGGAACTCCATCTGCTGAAGGAATGTCGTCTACTGCCTTTTCCTCTGGGGCACCTGCAACTTTGGCTTCTCCGTCTCCCTGAAATGAAAACTTCATAATCTCCAAATCTAGCAAATTTCTAAAAAAACATGCAATCAAAGTTGGTCAAAAAGAGCACAGTTCTGAGAAAAATTTACAAAATTATTTGGTAAATGTATTCCTGGATCCATAACCAACCACCTACAGTCATATGGAACCGTATAGAATTGACTTTTTGCCTTATAGATAACATTTATTAACAAAAATATAAGAAAAGTTACAAATTGTGTTATTATGATTGCAGATAGTGATTATCATTGCAATGTTACAATACTTATTCCTAAAACCACCAAAGTCTGAGACAAGCTTCTCCTTACAGGGAGAATTCTAGCTAAACACAGGATTTATTTCAATTTCAGTCTCAATCCGGTCTGTATAAATTTAAAGCTTATATAAGAGTACAAAATTTCCCAGTCTTAACAGAATTCTTTTTGTCTTAAACATGTTCAGTTAAAAAAAGTAGAGGCGGTCATCTAGTGAGTGTAAATATCACCCAAAAAACACATGGCCTTCGACCTCCAAAAAATGTGTCTCAGTGACCTGTAGTGGGGAAATTTTCTTAAATTTTAAAAAGGTGTAAATAAAATGAAATATACCTCTGTCCTGGTTCCGTCTGCCTTCACTTCAGCTGTTCCCTCCTCAGTTTTTACTTCTTCTGGTTTAGATTCAATTTCACCATTAGCTTGTTCCTCATCTGAACCAGTTTTGGAATTTTTCTTTTTGGAACTTTTTTTCTTGTCATCTTTGTCTTTTTTGGGTCCACTCAATTTATTTCCCATTTTTATTATTGACTTTTAATTCTTAACCTGTAAAAAAAACAAATTGGAAATATAAATTACTGGCACATTTCAACTAAGTTGGTTGTCCATCAAGTTCATCTATAAAACAACAATCAAAAAAACCTGATAGATTCTGTAACTGATTTTAGTTTCCATCTTGTCTATTAGTATATTAAACAAAAAAAACACATTCATCTTCACACCTGATGTCACTGTGTAAATGGATGTAGAAAATAGACAGCCTATGAAAACAGGATAAAATTCGGAGATTATTGTACACATCCCTGTATGATTCATAACAAAACACAAGCAGTCTCCTTTACTTTCAGGCAGTTGAAGTAGTAAATAATACAATATAAGACAATATAATTGATAATCCCACCTCAAAATAATATGAACACCTGGTATAATAGTTCTTCAGACCTGTATGTGTACAAATCTCTCGTCTTTTCACTGAGACAATTTTACTTCCTTCTCAATTTTTGCAGAGATTTTTATGTCCTTTAGTTTGTCAACAATATTAATACACATTCACTTAAACATTAACTTCAAACAAAACCATATTACATCCTTTTACAGCACAATAATGAAAATAGACAAACTCAGTCAGTTTCCTGTTCAACTAAAACAAACTCAAGATAGTCCATTTACTTCCACAATAACTTTAGTTTGTAGTCAAAAACAAAACAATAATATATCACGAAGATACCAAGGTCTAAATAATTAACATTTTTAACTTATTTATGGCCCTGACATTTGTCTCTTTGATTTGAAACATCGTTCAAGTCGTCTGGGTCAGCTTTTGTCCATCTCTATCTTGAATTAAGATTCAGGGAAAATATATAACAGAGATTTAAAGATATAAGAAATGATTTTAAATATTTTTAATTACTGATTGTGCTAATGAAGATAAGTATTGAGTAACACTATGCAGTGTTCAATGAGGAAAACTGTCAGGACAGCTGGAGAATATAATATACTCTATAAGAAGGAAGTAATTCTGCTCGAATTCTTTAACTTATCAAATTGAAATGATTAAAACATTGTTAAAATATTACTCATCAACTTTTTAAATATCTTCCCTACTGATCACATCATAAGAGAAATCAGGTTGAAAAATCCTCAGATAGTATTTGGACTCCAACCCTTGATCTTCACATTATTGAGAAAATGTTTTAATTAGGGTATCCTTATAATACAAATTCTATACTGATAAATCTCATTTAAAGTAAGACAATCAGGTTAGAAACATGAGAACTTTAAAACTGACCAACATTAAGATACATTGGAGTAAATACCAGACCCACTTTAAATGACATTCCCACATTCTCTGAGTAAATATCATAAACATGCCAACTATTGTGTTACAATGTCATTAATTGACATTCTTTTCTGTAATTCTAACACATTCTTTTGAAATAACTTGTTAATGGCATTTCACTTGGTCACAAGGGGTTAAGAATTAGTCTGTTTTCACCAGTTGTAAAAGTAGCAGATTATTGTAAAATGCCACTTATTTAGACATGTTCTTGTTTTTACTTCAAAAGAAATGGCAGAAATGGCACTGGAAATAGTTGATTAGACTATCAGTCAGTATTTGGCTGTTGATTTAATTGTTTAAACTGGTCATGTCTGATTTTTGCTGAATTTATTTAGCTGTAACTGACATCTTGAATATTTTATATACTTAACTAACAGTACATTTTAATGTTGGGAATCATAAATAAATACTGCACAAATGTCATAGCCTAGTTTCAGAATATATCAAATTTCAATTCTAAAAAAAAACAAAAAAAATATCTAATGATGAAACGAAATATCACTTTTCCTGCAGCCTACTTTCAGATAGCTGAAATTAAATTATATTCTAAAATGGATTTGAAATTTGAAAATGAGAAGTTTTATTACTAGTTGATAAATGTCAAGGGATGAGAGAGAGGTTTAATGTGTCAGGTTCTATAATATTTATAACAATATAATACCTCAATAATATCTAGTATTAAATATAACAGTGAATTTAAAACTTTGATTCTTCCAAAACCCAACTCTTTCCTAGTTTCTCATAGATTGATGTTATGTCTGTATACAGATTCGGTAAAACAAATTACCCATGGTTTTCTAAAACCAAATAATAGGGCGCTACTTTGGAATCTTTTTTTCATCTGTCTCACAAAAAACTGGATTCTATTTAAAGAAATACAGTAATCAGATTGGCTCTGTGAAATTTCTGTGAAACAGGCCACAGTTAGTATAGGCTCAGATTAAAAAACTTTGCCATTCCTTCGAATTATAATTTTCTTTATCCATCAGCATCTGTCAAGGCATCTTCACAATGGTCAAGGCGTTACGAACTGTAATACTTTGACATTGTGAAGATACTGTAAAGAATGAGCTGAAAGTTTCTGATTATTCCTGACATTTACCAGTGATTGTTTTTAAATCTTACAATATTCATAACTTATAAATCCTCTCTGTTTATTATTCAGGTTTGATTGAGATATTATTTTAACAACAGATTATAATTTACATTATATTATTATCATAAAAACTGACATAGAGTGGAGTTTTACTTCCAACTTTATCGCCTTAAATCAGGATAATGAAAACGCAATGTAGGACAAATTGACTTTTGTGATATTTAACTGTTTCAATCTGAATCAATTCTTATTTTTTTTTTTTAATTCTAAACCCTGCATACTTTTAAAATAAACATAAGTTCTCACATATTAAGCCAACTGGATATTAATATGGATCATCTACAAAACTTTTTGTTCAACAATTCCCCCTATACAAGAACATAACCGAGAATTCATAACCCATGATTCATAACCTTACCTTTACAGAAGCTAGGTATTAATCCATTAAGATGTGAGATGAAACAGTAATTTAAACACCAAAATATCAAATATTACTCAGAGTTTTAATTATTCATATCATCATTATCAATACAGTCACAACTAATTACTAGATACTAGTAATAAAAACTATGATAGATAGACTTATCTAAATTAAAAAACAAACTGAAAATACAGACTGTTAGAATCCTTCTTCTTCCAATCAAAACTGCTAATCCATAAGATAACAAAATCAATATGGTAGACATTAACTAAGTCCAATATCTATCTTGTATTCTAAAAATGGAAAAAAATCCCTGAATTTTATAATAAGGAATGGCTGTCAGAATTTTAAGAAATATCTCTTATTAGATCATGGATATCAAGTGTAATAACCTGTAGAAAGAAACCCACAGTGCAATGTCAAGATCTACGTTTCATCTCAAATATTTAGAAGATTACATCCCTTTAAAGTATTGTAAATTGTTTTCTTAATTATTTGTGTATGGGGGACATTCATATCATCAATTTACACCATTCCAATTTTCAGACGTCTGTTGTTCCTGCAATTCCACTAAAAGTAAGTGTTTTATACCGTATAGTGACATCATAAAATCTTTACTTTTAGTGGCATGGCAGGAACCACAGACGTCTGTTAGAAAATACAAATGGCGCAAATCAATGCTATCTGTGTCAATGATACACACAAAAAGACAATCTCTTTAAATAGACAATGAAAGATGAAGATGGATTAGTTAGGAGAGTAATTAGAGAAGAATTAATTAACCTCAGGGTCAGAAAGATAATTATCAACAATGCCAACAATAGACTCAGGTTGCTGTTTATTATTTTCATTAAATAACAATGATTTAAGTCAAGGACGTATCATTGAACCATTAGATCATTTTACATATAAATAATAATTATATAACAGCAGGATAGAATAATGAACAGAATATACCACTTTCAATCAACAAGTAAATATATATTTATAATAGCCCAAAAGACCACTTTGATAAAAACCAAATTTCACCATTAAAAGTCAAAAAAAAGACAAAGAGGCAAGAGACAACTGTTTTTTTTTTTAAATGACTAACAAATAAAATGCAATAGAGTCAATTTATCAATTTAAAAATCATGTATAGTATATTGAAATGGAAAGACTGTATTTAAACCTGTGTCTTTGAATCTAGTCTACCAAGCTAGTTAACAAGATTGTCAATAACGAATGACCTCAAACTTAAAACATGACCTGAAACATGGTGAATAGAAAACTTTCATTTTCTTCTCACAAAATACAAGTGTCAACATTTCACCTGGAGGTCAAGTGACAATTGCCACGGAGATTGGAAGGTCACGTGACATGGAATAGCCATGACGATACTTTCACTTTGTTTCATCAGCTCGAAAACTGTGGAAAAGTCTGGTGGGATTTTCTCAATGTTCTATGAATTTGCATGTCACATTGTTGCTAAGAATTTTAATCCTTCGTGAAGTACATTGGCAGGTAAATTCGTCAAAAATGGTGAAAAACAACTAGTTGATGGAGGATGCAGACTGACGTAATATTTATTCAATGATTTACAATTCAGTTTCTAAACAAAAGACTGGCGTTAACTACAAGAATTCTGTCTTTATTTATTTTAGCTGGTAGCTGTTGTTACACTTGTCTTTTTTTAAAATGGTTTTTATAATAATGGTACAAAATTTATAGATTTGAATCTCAATGTTACAGTGCAAAATGTCCCCTTTGTCCACTGTTTTAATGAGATCATCTCACCCAGAAGATGGTAATTTAAAATAAACTGAACAGACATGACTGGCAAATAAAATGAACAGACATGACTGGCAAATAAAATGAGATCACAAATCCTTTAACTTATCAAATTGAAATAATTAAAACATTGTTAAAATATTACCTTGTAGTCTTATCTAGAGATACATACTTCCTAAAAATACATCAGATACTGTCACAATTATATTATCAACTAAAATATATAACTGTCAGACATGACTGGTAAATAAAATAAAATCACAGTACCTGAAGTAACCTTGTTAAATATCAAAACACAGTAAAACTATTAGCTTGTAGTTCTATCTAGAGATAAAGTGAGAGAGAGATGGTATCTACCTGGAGTCTGGTATGACTCATTCCCTATCTTAATA